GAGAGAGAGAGAGAGAGAGAGAGAGAGAGAGAACCGCACGCCAGAAAACGCGAAGCTGGCATGAACGTCGAAATGTTCACGTCCAGTTTCCGCAGAGGAAAACATCGACTTCTACATTGCGTCCGACTACAACACCGAGGGGGCGAGCGTCATCGATCGATGCCTGGACTGCTGCCCTCTTGGGTGCATCACGTCATGGCGGCCGCCACGCCTACGGTTTCCACGGTTTCGCAACGCTGCTGCTCTGGTCCGGCTGACCTTATCCCCGAGAATATGGCGCAGGAGAGAGCGGCGAGCACCAGGTACACGGCAGACCTTCGGAACTCGCTGTCCCCCCCCCCCTCTACAACGTTGTCGATCATGTTGCCGGTGAAGTGTGGGACCAGCACCTGAAAAACACACACAAACAAGTGGGTGGAACACCACACGCATGCGTGTTGCGGCGCGGGTGAAACAAACGCTTCAAGCCACGTGTACCGTTCAACGGGTATCGGTCGTATGCTACTTGACGTTTGGGCGGCAAGAAATTGGAGACGACTGGCGGATAATCACACGCCTGACGACGTCACTTCAATAGCTGCGTGCGCTTGGCCCGGTTTCGTGGGTGAGGGGGGGGGGCGTACTGTTATATTTCGCATGCCTTAGCTGTTGGACCATTGACCAGGCGTCCTCGAGAGGACGGAGCATTGTTCCCACAGGACCAATCACCGATGGCCAATCGTTCCTTCCTACTGTGCCAAAGGTGGCTCGAAGATGTGTCTTCCCTAGTCTATCTATCCTACCGATATCACTTCCCCGCCTTTTCAACCCACTTCCTATGCCCCAGCACCAACGTCTTCTCCTGGCTATCCCATGCCTCAAAAATCTCCCTGTACGTCCCATCTATTTTTCCCAGCTCAGTCACGTACACTTCCCTCTCCTTGTACAGCCGCCATTCCGCGACTAAATGAACACGGTCTTCGCACTCGGAGCCGCCATCACATTTAAACTTGTCCTCTTCATCGCCTATCTTTCTATATAGTCATCTACGTTCTCGAAGGTCAATGCCCCCGTTCCTGAATTTGACTAAGCTTTGTCCCTGCATCCATTGGTCCATGTAGGTACTCCCCTATTCCTTCATTGAACATTCCGTACACTTCTAGGCCCTCCTTATCCTTGGTTTCTTTGGTTGGATTCTGTTCTTCTCTTTCGGAAAGAAACAGATACCTTCTCCTTGATCCTCTTAAGACCCTCCGTTTCCAGCGTTTCACCTTCGTCGATTTCGAACCCCTTCCATACGTCACCTACAACCTTGACGCACTCCGTGGGCTGTCTACCCCTCTTGTTATTTGCCCACTTCGCTTCCCAAGCTTCTCTCGGCAACCTCTCCTCTTCCACACCGCACATGCGATACTGCCATGTCAGCTTCTTTGCGTCTCGGGGGGAGGGGTGTACTCATAGTCGTGCATGCCGTAGTCGTTAGACCATTGACCTCGCATCCCTACAAAGCCGGGACGGAGCACGCCGGGTTCTCACCGGACCAGGCTCTCACATCACCAAGCGCCAAGCACCGTGAGGTATTCGGCGAGTCGCATGAAGGGTGCGCTGCATCCTACTAAGGGTGTTCGGCATCTTGTGCTTACTTCCTTGCGTACGGATGACAGCTGCGTATGACTTCATATATTTTCTGGTGCTTTCACTTCCAGAGACAGTTGTAAACGCTGTGTAACTGCCTCCAGGATGCTTGACCAATTTAACACAACGTGGTGCGATCATCCCACTTGCACGGAGTGATGTTTCTCGACCCCGCATAACACAATCTACTCGACCACCATTGTGGCTACCGCAAAAAAAAAAAAAACGAGGCAAAAAAAGAAGCGGTAACCTGATTGCCGAGCTCACGACGTGATCGGCTTGTTCTACAATGTCGTTGCCAAGCGACGAAAACCCAACCCCGATGGCAAACACCGAGGGGGAGGTCGCCTGGGGTGTGTGTGTGTGGGGGGGCTCTTCCACCACACACCCACAAATGCTAAAACTTCACACGCGACAGACACACCAAACCGGCCCGTGCACAACGCCTTCCACACATACACACACAAACGCTATAAAAAAACTCCACACGCACAACAGGTACACCGACCTTCGACGATGCCGCCAGCAGCAAGGCTATGGAAGCGAGCACGATCAGCCGCCAGTCCTCCGAGCAGAGCGAGATGATGTCCCAGAACGACGCCGAGTAGGCTGGCTTGTCCCTCTTCCCCCCCCCCTCCTCCTCCGTGGCTGCCTCCAATATCGCCTCGTAATCGCCCCGTTTTCGACAGCAGCGGAGAAGACAGTAGCGCCGGCAGGTCGACGTGAACCCTGTTGTCGGTAGGATAGGGTAGGGCAGGGCAGGGTAGGGTAGAGGGGAGAGAGGAGGTGAGAGGAGGGGGAAGGAGGGATCGGGAGGGGAGGGTTTTCGCTGCTGCCGAGCCGGTTTCAAGATGCGACAAGACCATAGCATGCCTGGATGCTCGGGGCGGTGGCTTCGCTCTCGACTACGAGTGGAAACACCGTCCTAGCCCATACGCAGCACCCCTTCTTCTCTCTCGTACCCCGAAAGGCAAACAGAGGAGCTTCCGTTGTCGGTTGGCCCAACTTCTTCATTCAGAGGGTGCCGCCCTGCCGCAGGGGTGTCCAGATTCCTAAACCCAACTACTCATTTGAGAGATATTCACTCATTGATAGGGTGTGTTGACCTCAGGTCAATCCACCAACCACCAATGCATGTACTATGAAGCACCAGGGAACTAAGACTAAGAAACGTACGAAGTACCAAGTTGAAAAAATATGGGGTCAAGATGTCCACCGCGAAGAAGCTGGTCTGGCTTTACTGGAAGCAACACGCGTTTCCGCATAGGAAAGCACAGGCTGACCAATAAAAACGACGAGCGTGTTTTGCCAAGTTGTTCTGGAGACAGGAAAGAACCGACGAGTTCTTCTTCTTTGGCTGCGTTGGTCCTTCAGTGTGGGTCGACATAACCGATACTCCCGGTTGTCGAGGAGGCGATTTGTCTCTCTCCCTCTCTCCCTTTCTCTCACCACAGTCCTCCCTCGGTAACGACACCTTCTTCACAGGCATGGTGCCCCGCAGAATGCACAACGCAAGGAAGGCTATCAACCTTACGGACCCTTCCAAAGGACACCTGTCGAAACGAAAAGCCATGCATGACCTCAACAGAGGGACGACCGAATCTTCAACGCTCGTGGCGAGACTTACGAGTGGCCAGAACAAACTCCACTCCCGAAGCGGCAGCACCCCAGCTGCGGCCCACAGGATCACGCCAACGCGGCAAAGGCAACGGCAGGACCCGGCAGGAGAGAGCGAACGGCGGTTGCAAACCTCAGTTCAGTCGGCGACAGACAAGGGGGGGCCTTCGCGAAACCGGTTCTAAGAGTCATTGCAAAGCGCGAGACCTCGACGGACGCAGGCACCACTGCGCCAGGGCTGGGCCAGAGCCCGCACTGAGTGCTGCGGCTATTGTGCGCCTCGAAAGCTTGCTGCAAAGGGAATTGGATTCAAGGCTACAGGCGGCAGCCCTGCGCTAGATACGAAACAGGAAGGAAACACGTTGATGATAGCCTACGATTAGATAACAGCTGGTCTCGATCAAGCATTCGTGCCCCAACACCAATTTTGCGAATATCACCGATTTATTGGTTCTTTAAGAACACCTCAATGTTTCAGCAAGTTTAGCAGACCACGCGTTCTCTCGAAACGCTATGACGACAGTATAGCTCTTGATGGTCTCGATAGCTCTTCCCTCCAGCAGCGACGAGATCAACGGGGTGTGTCGGCTGCGGAGTGGGTCCTCCTCCAACAGGAATCCCCCGAAAAACGCCATTTCCTCCCACAAAGACTTGAGCATCCCGGCGTCGGGTTCGGTACTAGTATCTCTAACGGGCAGTCTTTCGCTGATTCAACGCATATGCATATCTTCTACAAACTCTGCCGCTAGGTTGGTTTGTAGGGGCGCGTGCCACCGCCGCCGCCGCCGCTGCTGCTGCTGCTGCTGCGTTTTGTGGAACAAACTACACAGGACACAGAACTGCCACCAGGTCGTTACACGTATCGGTTCGCGTATGACGTGTAGAAGAGACAAAAAAAAAGCAATAGTCTACGCAGCAGAATTGATTAGGCAAACATGCGGGATACAGTATTGAATCCGTGCTTTGGGGTTAGGGCTAGGCTTAGGGATAGGGTCTGCGTGCCCCCTCCAAATTCTTTTTCTAGTTACTCTTAAAATCCTGCGTAGGCGGTCCAAAAAAAGCGGAGTGACTTCGACGATGGCATTGTACCACGGGCGAGGGAAGTCGCTTACCCGATGGATGACCAAAACCATGCAGTCTCCAACCCGCAACCGGAGCCTGATCCCGGTCCCGCCACCAGTCGTGCGAGGCACTTCGTTATCACCAGAAGGATCGAAAGGATCGGACCGGCCACACAGATGGACTCTAACCATTGCGCCCATCTGGACACCTTGTACGATGTGCTGCTTCCACGTGGGGCGCCCACCTGACAGACATAACCACAGTGACAGCATGTACAACTGTCACTTGTGGGGAGATCAAAACTCCTCACAGCTACACCCACCGGGTGTGCTTTCTACCAGCATCGACCGCCCTAAGCGACTGACCAAAAATCAAAAAGTTAGTTTCAGCGTGACTGACAACAGCAAGCGCTTGTGAAGGGCATAATCTGGGACCGCGTGAGGGGGGCGCCACGTGTGTGTCTTTGTTGGTCCAGCATCGAACGCGTTACCCGGCTGACCGATGAGGGGACCTAAGTCTCCGTGTGGCCAAGAACGAAGAACGCTTCGAAAAGGACAATGTGTGCGTGTGCGTATGCGCGGTTCTTCAGAGCATTGCAGTCGAGTAAGTGTGGAAGTTTCACGTAGCAGAATTCGCAACCTCGCAAACCTGCGAGGAGGGTCGCAAGACCTGAAACATGTTTACCCCATGGTGTAGAGGGGATGAAACGCATTGCTTGGTGGAGTTTGACGTTTGCCAGGGACGACACAAGTATGAAAGGTGACTGGTGCGCAGTGTGCACATACACCAAACACGGCAGGGGAACACCCCTTTCACGTGTTCGACAACCAGCAAAGGACATGCCATCCGCCTGCGGCCGGGACAGCACAATCCTCGCGTTGACGTGTCGGAAACAACTACTATAAGTTTCATTGTTAAATAGCACGGTATATACCTTCATGTGTAGCGAATGATCACATGTCTCGACGATACCAAAGACAACGTTATTTTTAGGAGTGGCCAAAATCAGGTACACCCGGCCCCAATCCGGCCATCATCGGGTAAACTTGTTTTACACAGTCGGCAGCGCCCTCCTGGCGCCATCTGATTGGCCGACGCCCGCCCCTACCCGGCCCCGACCCTATTCCCACCGGGTGCACCCGATCTTGGCTACTCACCCCCCGCAGGGGTACCCGATCTTACTCCCGCCTACCCGAAAATGGCTGGGCTATTCGACCAACAGACCACCAGCAGACCACGCTCACGAACACACGTCACCAACACCGCGCACTCGAGTTCCGACGCTTCCGACGGCGGGCGGAGGCGGACCTAACACGGCTAACGCGGCGGAACTCTCGTTTGAAGTAGATCTCGCCCCTGCAAGTAGATCTCGCTCCTCAACCCACCAAGTCTCTCGTGGTTAATCTCGGCACTCGTGCCTGAACGGTAGACTGGCATCGGCAGAATATGAGCGATGAAGTAGAGAACATCGCGGTCCTCGCGCAAGGCACGTGCTACTTCACCACCAGCCATCTTAGGACAGCGTTCATGCTGCGTGTACCACCACTCTCTCTATCTTTCCCCATCTCCTGTGGCAAGCCCGCAGTTCCTTGTCTCTCCCACGTACTCACGAGAGGTCGAAGTCAAGGAAGTATTATCGCTGTTCAATCTGAGGTCCCACGGCATCCACTGCTTGCTGCTGCTGCATCAGTCTACTGTATGATCTTCTTCCTACACAACAATGTGTCAAATATCTCCGGTCTTGATCGAGACATAATCACGGCAGCCACTGCTTGCTGATGCTGCATTGCTGTGTACGAACGACCCTCTGCGTACATAACACCGTGCCATACATCTCTGGTCTTGATGTGTCTATGCATGTATTCCAGACGAAAGCGACACCCTGATGCTTCTGTGCCTGATGCTTCCTTCCGTAGACATATCTGAGCTGCGTCATGTATTTGTGTGCAGCTCAAGTGATCACGTGAGGTATTGAGAGGTATTCATCCACCGCCGCCCGCCTGGCCCTCTCTCTCCTCCCTCTCCGATACGAAACGAGAACCGAGAGAGTTCCGCCGTCGGCGGTGGGTTGCAGGAGGAGNGGTATTGAGAGGTATTCATCCACCGCCGCCCGCCTGGCCCTCTCTCTCCTCCCTCTCCGATACGAAACGAGAACCGAGTTCCGCCGTCGGCGGTGGGTCACAGGAGGAGTCTTGCAGGAGAGAGATCCACTTCAAACGAGAGTTCCGCCGCGTTAGCCGTGTTAGGTCCGCCTCCGCCCGCCGTCGGAAGCGTCGGAACTCGAGTGCGGGGTGTTGGTGACGTGTGTTCGTGAGCTTGGTCTGCTGGTGGTCTGTTGGTCGAATAGCCCAGCCATTTTCGGGTAGGCGGGAGTAAGATCGGGTACCCCTCCGGGAGGTGAGTTGCCAAGATCGGGTGCACCCGGTGGGAATAGGGTCAGGGCCGGGTAGGGGCGGGCGTCGGCCAATCAGATGGCGCCAGGAGGGCGCCGCCGACTGTGTAAAACAAGGTACCCGATAATGGCCGGATTGGGGCCGGGTATACCCGATTTTGGCCATTCCTCTTTTCTTTAAATCCTGATCACCTGCTGCGATGCGTTTCTCACACTAAAAAAAAAAATCACAAGCTCGCAGCCAAGGGATAGTACCAGCCGAAAAGTTGTACTACTGCCGTAGTTTGCTTACAAATATTTCGAGCATTCTGCCATCTCGCACGCATCATGTTACTCTTCAACGACCAAAAAAAATCAAAAAAATCAACGCCTGACGCAGCAAAAGGCGTCCAAAGTACGAGGGATAAACCTTGACGCTTGAAAGTTCTACAGCAGGAGCTACACTTGCGCACCTGCCGAGTAGACGAATTAGACGTTCGCTGCCCCGCCGCTTCCCCGTCACCCCCAACCCCTCCCCCGCCGCCATTGCCACAGTAGAGGTATTTTCCGTGGTGCTCGGGAGGGGAGGCGGAGGGTGGCGGCGCGGCGGACTCGACGCTGCTGCTGTCTACTATCCTAGACCTTCGTCGCACGACCAAAAAGAAGGCCAAGCACCCGGACACCGCCGCGGCGCACCGCACCACGCCCACCACCAGCAAGTCCAGGCCGGACGAGCCGAAAGGGTATGATGCGCAACCCATACCTGTAGGTTGTCGTTGGAGCGTTTTATGACAGGGAGGTATGTAGGTCATGGTAGTTGTTCGATCGGAGACGCGTGTGGCTGCTGCAAAGATTGAATCGAAACTTCACGCTGGCTTTGTGGTCTTGCTATTGCACGTGTACATAACTGCCAGAGCTGGGTGAACCCATCGAGCGACGCGCAACGCGCACAGGTTTGCCCGAACTAGCGACTTAAGTCTCGCACCCTTTTTTGCCCCACCTAGAGGCTGCGCCTTGAACCCGCCTGAACAGGAATACGAGCACAGCAACAGATCGACGGCGACGATGCCCGCTATCGAGAGACCTAGAGCAGCCAGTTTCCTGCTCGCAGCCTTCATTTCCTGTTGCAACTGTTGCTCCCGCCCATCCTGCGGCAACAGGGGGTCGGCGAGGCCATCTCCTTCCATCGTGACAACCACCTTGCCTTGCTGTAGGCTGATGGTACTCACGCTTTAATCATTGCACAAATGCAAACGGCGCGGCCTGGCGCGGCTGGGGGGGTCCTGCTAAGGACACTTTTTGGGCACAAGCATGCGTGTCAGCCTGCGTGTGCCCTTCATGACGTGTCTCGCGGTGCGACATTGATCGAGTACATTTTTTTTTTTTATTTTTCCAAATACAACACAACGAGTCCATCTCCGTCAGAGAAAAGAGTCAAAGACAGATTAGCAATGGAATCATAGCGTCAAAGAAAACTACCTGTTGTGTGTCCACGATTTCCCAGACAGCATATATGGACATCTCCNTGGGAAGGTGCAGACGAATGATGTTGGGTACTTGTTGGGTAGTCGGGCGTTTTGTGTGTCGCACCCTGTTAGTTGTAGCACTGCAATCTCCATCAGTTTACAAACGTATAGACTATTCATTTTGGTATGCATATGTGCGGAATTTTTTGTTTTTTTTGTGTTTCTCCCATCATTGGACTCTGTCGTCTGCCCCTCTGGCCTCTATCCTCCACTTCTACTAGCTAGACGACCCAACCGGGGTCACATAGGAGGGGGGGGTTGGACCCCCTCCTGCGATTCATGCCTGAGGTATTTTTATCGCGAGAAGGGTACAGCAATCCCTTCCCTCGCGACTTACGAAGTCGATTATGGTTTACTAACAAACGAGCTATGCAGCGCGTCGCTTTCATCCTAGACCAGGAATTATTTAGTGAGAAAAAAACACTCTTTGCCGGGACTCGAACCCATGAACTGGCCCTTAGCAGGCTGCGAGGCTACCCACTAGACCTCCGGGGCGACCGGTTAATGTGCGGCTGATGTGCCGGCACACGGGCGTGGTCTCACCGCACATTGTACATTTTACGATCCGTGCGAAGGGATCTTTACATCTAAATTTTCTTTCTGTCTCCTCATTGGTCGGAGATGCGAGTACGCGCGTTCCCTCGGTGAACCTAATTTTGGTTCTATTCACAAAGCTCTGCTGGGGTGAGGAAACCCCGGCGCTCTCTACATTTCTCCGCACGCCGCGCACGAGGTGCGCGTGCTGTGAAGGACGGACAGGGCGGCCGTGCTACCTTATCGACACGTAGCCTCTAGAGGGAAGCATTGCATAGGGTGGCTTCCACCGTTGGCCACCACAGCCAGCACAGCAGCGGTCAGTCGTTGTTGCAAGGAGGTAATCCGACCTCCACTGATCGTAGATCTGTAGGACTAACGCGTTCTGATTGGTCGGGCGTTGTTCGGCGTTGGTTCTGGCGGCCCGCCCGCTACAGCAACACAGGATCAGCACGCCCAAGGTCACCTACCAATCTCTCTACCCGCATCTCTACCCGCAAGTGCAAAAGCGGTAGCAGTGTGGACAACCCACATCACGCAGAGGCAACAAGGACACGTCAGAAGCATCATCATCATGGCAAAAGATGGTAATAGGAAGGACAACAAGGAGGTTGCTGCTCAAGTTGACGTCGGAAGGTATCTCCACCTCGCCTCTGGATTAGGGCACGACCTCGTCGTGTCGCTCTTGCTCGAGCATGGCGCCGACCCCAACATCGATACGGACGGCGACGGTATGACTCCCCTCTTGTTGGCAGCTAAGGAAGGCCATGTTCGTGTGGTAGTAGCCCTGCTATCTGATGCTCGGGTCGATGTCGGACAACGACACGGCGCGGGCGGTCGCTCGGCCCTTGACTTGGCGGCGATTGGAGGGCACGCCGATGTCATTTCGGCGATTGTCGAGCGACAGCCGGACGTCCTTGACTCGACGTCTGATGATACTGGGTTTTCCGCCTTACACCACGCAGCTAATCACGACGCGGTGCATTCCATCGATGCCCTCGTAAAAGCCGGAGCGAACCTCGAGAACCGAGACGCCGAAGGTTGCACACCCCTCCGTGTCGCCGCTGGTTGTGCGTCTGAGGCCGCCTTGCTAGCCCTACTTCGACACGGCGCTGACAAAGAGAGTACGGGAGTGGACGGGCTAACCCCACTGCAGGATGCGATGGAGAATGACCTCTGGGGAATAGCAACTGCACTAATGGCCGCCGGTGCGGATGTCAACGTTCGGCGCGGGTCAAATGGGTACTCCCCGCTAGATTGTGCCGTCCGGAGTGGTGGCATGGACCTCACGCGCCAGGTGTTGCAGCGCGGCGCGATTGCAACGGAGTCAGCTTCAGATGGATGCACAGCATTGCATTGGGCAGGATGGAACATGAACGCATCCGCAGTCGACCTCCTGGTAGGAGCCGGCGCCGACCTGGAGGCAAAGCTTGCAGACGAGGAAGTCACTCCTCTCCATCTCGCTGCGCGGCAGGCCGGGAATGCAGCTGTGATCGAGGCCCTTGCAAGGCACGGTGCCGATGTTCATGCTCAAGAAACTCCATCGGGGCAGACACCTTTGCATAACGCTGCTCAAAACTGCACTACCGAATCTTCCTGGGAGACGGTGGACGCGCTGTTGAAGGCCGGGGCCGACGAGACTAGACTGGATTGTCAAGGCCAAACTCCCCTAGATGTTCTCGAAGCCAGGATTGCTGTTGGCGATGTTGTGGGTGCGAACGCGGCCGAGCACACCCGAAGCATGCTGGTGAATGCCCCGAAGGACAGGGCGCAGAGGGCGTGGAGTCGACGATCTTTCTTCGTGATGTGTCGCGCTCACCCCAACAGGGCGCGGCTGACTGTTGTCGATGGCACTACAACTAGCCCCAGTGCGAAGAAGTTGGCAACAGAAGCTACAGCGGTTGGTAGCGGGTGGCGGGGGACCAACTGGGACAGCCGTGCGGATATTTTCCAGCGTGCGATGAGGAGCTTGATGCTGCTGAAGGAGGATGGACTATTCCGGAAGATCGTGGCGTTCCTGTGAACGATGAATCTGCGGGTGAGAGCGGCGCCTTTGATGAATCACATGAGTTCCCCGCCCTTCCTCGATTGTGCAGCAGTTTCCTCTCTTCTGCGCCCTCGCCTTCTTACAGTGGTATATGTTTGCTCTCGCACACAACACAACATAGTTTGACAGCTATATGCTAAGATTCACGTCCAAGATGATGGTGAGATGCAGTTTATTGAGGCTTACGACCGTCTTTTCAGCAGCTATTTTTTGCTTCCAAATTTCCCAATCTCCGTACGTAGACCTTTGAACCTCGATTTGTGGCCTAGGGAAAAAATTGGAGGTTTGGAATATTTGCAAACTACTGATGACACCGAAAATGTTTTGGAACGAGTTCATTTGAAAGCCTGGAGAGCCGGAATTTGGAAATTTGGTAATTTGGAAGAAACATCGCTCTGTATAAAGCGGCCCTAACATGGCCTGTAACCACCTGATCCTCGCGCAACATTACTTGTTGCCTCGCTAATTGTAGGCATCAGGTTCAACAAGACAGGTTTGCGGCCATCTGTTGTGTCGGATTTGCTGTTGCGTGGGTGGGGAGCGACAGGAGACGGAGTGTTGATATACTCGTGTGGTTGTGCCTCTGTCTTGATTTTGCGAACACCTTGGTATGTTTTTAGTGGCTGGATGGCCTTGGGGTGATCCGTTGTACAGCGAGCGTGGTATTTGTTCGTTTTTTGTTCGCGGGGATCTTCCAGTCAAAAACACACGAGCTTTGTGAGCTGTTGAGCATCCTAACAAATCACAACCAGCAGCGGGCACCTGACTGCGGGCTGGTCCTGCTGCCTGCTTTTGGCTCGTCTTTCCTCACCCCTTGACGGATGACGCTGCTGTCCACTCCTTGACCCACTCCGGAGGGATCCCTTGTATTTCCGTAAATATCCTGTTCATCTCTCCTATGAACCAAGTGTACCCGCACACACACGTCTTGCGTGCTTTCCTCTCTTGAGTTTTTGCTATGGCCTCCCGGAGTTGTTTCGTAGGAACACCTGTCGACTGTCGCCGCACGTGTATCTCAACACGCTTTTTACCAGAACAAGTAAACCACGTTTCACGATGCGCGAAATAGAAGTGGTACGCCGAGCGCGGTGTGTGTTGACTTTGGCATTGCCTATTGCGACCCCGTTCGTACGAGGTGCTTGTTGTGCACCCTCCATACAGGAACGCGTTGTTGGAGCAGTGTCGCCGCCAGATCATTCCATGTACAGAACGCCGCCCCCCCCCTGCACCGGTTGCGCTTGGTGTGAGAAGCCCTTAGCATCGCTGCTGTTTTTTTTGCGGGGCTCATACGCGGGTGTGGATGTTGTTGAAGCCGGCACGGTGAGAATTTCGTTTCATATTGTCTGGCTTTGCCCGGACCACAAGCCTAGGTCAACGGTGTAGTTTTGTTGCATTTTCGGTCCACGCGCCTCTCCGCTGCTCATGTACCCGATCAATAATCAGTGGCGTTATTTGATCCTCCTCATCTATGCTTACGTGCATGTGTTAAAATTCTGGCGCAGAGTGTCGACCGATCGGCTGGGATACGTGTCACGTGGGAAAGAGCCCGGACGCCTGCCACCGCGATGTCGGTCTTTCCAATGGTGACACAAGCCACAGGGATGGAGGCTGTGCACGCAGACACATTGAACCTCGCTCAGAAATAGTTGAGCACAAATCGCCCTGCTCAGGCAGCAGAGGGGGTGCAATGTGTTGGGACGTGCGCTCGGAGGGATTTATGCAAAGCCCTGGTCCTACGTAACCTCCCGGTTTGTTGTCAAGATGGTGCGAGAACTGTTTTTCGGGCGGGAGGCCTGTGATGTGTAGATAGGGTATGAGTGTTTTTTCGAAATGTGTGTAGGGGACGACCACGACACATATTTTCTTCCTTGCCAGATAAAATATAGCGCTTCTTGACAAGTGTTGAGGCGGGGCTGTACAGGGGACGACGGGGAGAGGCGAGGCGATGTTGCGGGAAATCGGGGTGGAGAGGTAGGGAGGCTTTGCGTTGAGGCCGGAGTAATGAAGGAAGCCTGGGTGCAACACGAAAGCGGGTTGACGGACCTGCAATACGTCGGCAGTATTTCCCTCCCGCCCTCCCGCGGTCGTTCGTATTGTCGGAGGCTGTTGAAACCCGTTATGCTATCGCGAACACCTTCGGCACAGCAAGGCTGTAGGAGTTGTGTGTTCTTTTTGGTGTGTGGGTATGGGTAATCAGAACGTATCAACCTTTACGCTCGCCACAAACATGACAACCAAAAATAAACCCATGGATCTAGTTTTCTCTAGCTACAACGAACGAAGGTGGTGGTGATGCCGCGCACTCCGTACGGGGTACAGTACGTACATCGTCCCAAATATGAAAATCTGATACACTCCAGCGTTTAGGCTTTAACAAACTCACAATATGCCCAGTTTCCAGCCGGTTTCCTTCCACTCACTGAAACACTTGAGCATATCCTTCTCGACTGCGGTTATTCTTCTACGAGACCGTTACGGCCTGTAGAGACCCTCTCACAGAACGGTAATAAAAAATGTGAGTGATCACTTTCACTCCGAAGCTCCCAACCATGCACCTTCTGAGCCGAACGTCCGGGATTACGCAAGGAATTAGACTATCGGCCGAAGAGTCTGACGTGTGGTCACGCGTAAAGGACATGCGCAGCGTTGCAAAGGCATTATTACCGTTTGAGGTTGTTCTCATGGTGATGCGTCACATTTTTCACCGCATGTAGGTTCCCTCTGTCGGCGTTGTTGTCTTGGTGGAGCGGGCGTCGTTTCTGCCCAGGACTAAACGATCAACTCCCAGGTGTGTATTTGGATACAACGCGTGGGTACCTTTCGTCGTGTACCAGTAAAGATCCACTACAATCGACCACTACGCGTTGCTGCTGCTACTGCCCTTCATGAAGGAATGGCTGGGACACGCTGCAAGCGGTCTCGACAACACTCTTCGACACACACCGTTCGGAGAAAAACAGGGAAGTTCTACCTACATCGACTGCAACTCTACTGCTGTGCTGACCGCCGCCTGTTCATTTGCCTCGATGACATACTCCATTGCTGTAAATCAGTATCACTCCTAACGTACTATCCTATGTAGCCCCCACCCCTTCAACTTGTTTCACCTACACGAAGAACAAGATAACATTGTTGACTTCAAAATGAGCGGGAAACAACCACACTCAAATCTACATGCAGTACAACTCCAACTGTTGAAACTCAAAAAAATTAAAAAAAAAAGTTTTGGTGCGTGTACATGTACAACACAGTCCCACAGCTGTACATACTGTAGTCTATATTCAAGTCGCCTCAAACAGCAGCTAAGTACTTTCTAAAAACAGCAAGTTGTCAAACGACACTACGCCATTTTCCCTGTGAAGGCAACATTCCACATAAAATTAAGAATGTATCCGCCTACATAGATAGATGCTTTTGTCGTTAGCTCCAACTGGCATTACTGATGACTCAGTGTTAGACTTACACAAACTCAAAATAAGCCAAGTCTCCAGTCGGTTTCAATCCACGTACTGACAAGGCTTCACCACATCCCTTTCGGCTGAGGTTATATCTCGAACGGGTTGTCTTTCTGTGAGGTTATTAGGAGAAACAAATATACACACAGAAAGACTACCCGTTCGAGGTATAACTACACTCGAAGGGGATGTGTTGAAGTCTTTACAGTGAGTAGAGGAAAACCAGCTGGGTACTTGACTTATTTCGAGTTTGTTTAAGCCTATACACTGATGATTTATATCAGTGATACCAGTTGGTGCTTAGCACAAAAACATCTGCGTAGGTACATTTACATGTGGCCTGCACAGGGAACACGGCGCAATATGTCATGTTGACAGTAGTTGCTGGTTTAATTTAGAAAAATACATATATTAGGAAAAACAAATATGCACACAGAAAGACTACCCGTTAAACACATAAAAGCTCCCTGTTCGAGCGAAATTCATAGTCGTTCGAGGGGGGCTTTTTACAGCAGTATTTAGGAAAAACAAGTATACGTGCAGAAAGGCTACAGCAGTATGCAATAACCGACATACGTTAGTTTATCTATTTACTACAAAGTACTGACTATTACAGCAGTAGTTGTTGTACCTATTTGAAAAAACAAATATACATTAGTCTAATTATTTATTTTATTTTATTTTATTTGTTTCTGATTATATTTTGTTTTCTTGTATTTTATCGCTCTGCTGACCCTTGGGGTCCATTTTATTTTGGTATACCTTTTCTAGGTACGTTAGCCTGTGACCACGGAAATTGGCCGAGTCAAGTGATGAATTAGTACGGAGAGATTGAGACAGAAGGAGGTACTGGATAGAGAGACCGGGATGGTTTTTAATGTGAAGACAACAACAACAACACTCATAAAGGCTACTGCTGTACATATTCGGAATCACAAATATACACACAGAAAGACTACCCGTTCGATGTTGTATATATATTTTTTGAATTTCTGAACAGGTCAGTCAGGTGGTTGTTGATTTCCCGCTCAATTTGATTTTCAACTCTACCCATGGTGTTGTTTGATATGCGTGTATGACGAGTAATAATGAGACTCATCAAATGAGATTGTGACGCAAAGTATGCATTATGGGGGGAGAGTGATTGCAGTGCTCTTGCGTGTGTATGGGCAGTAAACTTGGTTGTGTAGGAGAGAGGAAACGGAGGTAAGTCTTGTGCTGTGTCGTACATTATGAGGAAAAACAAACATACATACACAATCGTACATGTTTGCAAACAGAATTTGAATCTCAAAACATGTCGACTGTTTGTTGCTTTCCCGCTCTTTTCGATATTTAAAAAAAACCATCACGTGATGTTTGCTACCTTGCTTGTCGAGTAATGACGGGATGTATCAGGGGAGGTTGTGATATAAGTACTACATGGGAGGGGAGAGATTGCAGTGCTTTTGCAAATGAATGGAGGGTAATCAGTCTTGGTGGAGTAGGAGCGAGGCAATAAAAGAAAGGTGGTGGCGAACATTTTGAATAGATCAAGTCATCGGGTCTATGCAATCATTGGCTGCCCCATCAAGCAGCAGCACGAGACTTCCCTGTGTTTCTCCGGTGTGTCGTCGCCATGTTGTAGAGTATCCTTCAGCAAGGGCAGCAGCAGCATCAGTGAGTAGTACACATCTTCGTGTTGAGCAGTAGTGGTGGATCTTATTGGTGTGGTACTCGACGAGAGACACTTTGTGTCCAACCAGCACACTCACACACCTGGATTCGATTGTGCAGCAGAAGAAGAAGTTGATGTCAGGCTTACGGTCAATGTGGAAGAACAGCAGTGCGCGAACTCGATACAGCCTTCCCGCCAAGCCTCAAGTCCTATCGGAGAGAGTTATGTATGTGGCACCACGGCAGGGATCCAAAGGTTATGTTTTGACTACACTTTCTAAAAACGAGCATCTCGAATGGATGCTTATCTGCAAACCCAAAGATCAGTTTCTAGCTGGCCGAATGATATGCATGCACCCTTACGCCCTTCGCGGCGCCCACAGCTTTATCAAAGACCGAGGTAGGGCGGCAAGGGGCTCGCCAGGATTTTTCAGGGCCTGCAACAACGTTAACACATTGACCAGATATTTAAGTGGTTCCAATGAGGCCAGCAGGCGGCGGAGGTTTCACAAGGCTCCGAGCGACGAGAGTGGCGATGGTGTGCGCGGGAATGAATACTGATGGGATGTTCGAGAGCTCTATCTCCTATGGGCAGATAGTTCATGGGCCCTTTGCCGCGTTCGCCAAGTTTCCTCGGTCTTCACTTTGCGTCCATGAAGTGCGCCTCTTCGCAGTGCGTGTAGCAGAAGCCCCCCCCGCCCCCGTGGCAATACGGCAAACAAGGTTCAGAAATTGGCGAAACTCAATGGATTCGTTGGTGTGCACCACCAGAAGAACGCCATTTTTCATGAAACAGCAGTACCCCGATAGACACTGAATACGAGCAGACGGACACGCAGACAAACAGGTATGCCCTGGTGTACTCGAGAGCCATACGCGCTGGTGTTCGAGAAAAGACAAACTTCGTGCCAGTCTCTACACCGATTGTCTGCACACCTCGATACACGACAAACAAAACAACAGCCCTTCCGCTCGCCGCAAAAGACGGGAGCAAAAAATAAAAGTATGCATACTGTACTTGAATACACCCTAGCTTGTTGGCATGGTAAAACGACAGATACACGACCACATGGCACAAGCGCCGTACGCCCTCCCCGACAAGAACGCCAAAGACGCTTCATGTACAAATAACTACATGGTACCAAGAGAACTACCACCCGGTGTACTAGGGAACAGGCAAGTGCCGAGAATCAGTTCTCCACAGGAGAGGCAATCAAACCGCTGCGACACGGCATCCCCCACAAAACCTTGGCCGAAAGGTTTGTGCTCCCGCAGCAAATAATATCGGCACACATCAGCCGCCGCCAACAGGTACCCCGCTGCCTCGAGTGTGTCACCGTTTCGTTCCTCTGGAGACGCAGAACTGCAGGCAACAAGAGCGCTACGACGCCGACTACGGCCTAGGGCACACGGAAATGTGCCCCGCAGAATAGCATCCACCCCGCACCGCTTGATGCAGGATCTCTACCCTCTCTCTAGGTGGGACGATAGTTCGCCAATTGTGCATACCTGGTGTGCGATGCGAAGCACACCAGCGGCAGCTCCGCAGTTCCGCCATAAAACATTGGATTCCACGAGCCACTCGAGACCGTACTACTATACTCTGTGCCAAGGCAAGCAAGGGAACACAGCCCCGCAAACTATGTACCATAACCCCGCGATTGTTTGGGGGAAAGAAAGGTCCCGAACTGTGTCTTCAAGCCCATGCTTGCATTCCAAAACCCACCCACCCCGGAAATTCGGCAGCAACGACGCTAAAAAAAAGAATTCACAAGATCGTGGGCAAGCCCCCCCCTTCTCGCATACACTCCTGGCAACGTGGACAAACGTACACAGTACTCCGCTTTCGAACGCGGAAACTGGTCGCCAGGCGAGGATAACAACTACGATGGCACAGCAGTGTGTTGAGTCCGTGCCGCCGAGAAATGCGTGCGACGCAACCTTGAAGGTCGCAGAACGAAAAACGAGTGCTGTTTCTTGGAACGAATCGAGCATTGCGTGTTTTGCCCCTGCTACCCACAGAATTGGCAGGAAAACGCCCTCCATTTTGTTCCAAGACCCCGCGGAAAATGCTCCTCCTGCGTGCCGCCCCCTGAGCGTTACTCCGAGTCGTCACCAGAGTCCTGCATGGATGTCGCACGAAAAAGAGCGGGGTTTTGAGTCAAGCAATAATGCGTAGGATTTGCTACACACCGCACCAACTACCTTGGCTGCTTTCACGAACAGCTCAAGGAGGAAATGAAAAGCCCCAAAACGACAGACGCGAGCACGATTTCCAACCCACCCCGTCTTCGCCCTCGTCGTCGCCCTCGTCGTCGCCCTCGTCCGCATCCTTATCGTCCGCCTCGTCTTCCTCTTCCTCTGCCACAGCCCCCTTCTTCTCCTCGAACTCCTTGATGCCCTGCTGCTTGTACTTCTGGTGAAAGCGGCAACCACAAAGCGTTGCGAGAAGGAAAAATGGGGGTGAGATGGAGGCGAGGATCTCAAATAGTCCGTTCGTGGCTCCAGGTCGCACGCGCATTGTTCCTTGCATCCCGCCCGTCTGGTCGGTTTACAACGGAAGCGAGATCATCCCAATAGAAAGAAACAAAACATTGAGTTTGGTGCATATACTTCGAGGCAAGACACGGAGAGAGAAGGGACCACCGAATCTTGTCTTGGCGTAATGTTATTCTTTTCTTTCTTTGTCGCAACCGAGAGCGCGGAACAAACACCGATAATCAAGCTGTGTGCCCCACTTGTTGATATCATGGCATGCCCCCCCCCTCGGCTGAACAGTTGCGTCAAGGCGACAAATGTCTGCATCTCCACAAATCGGTGAGGAAAACAGCAATGACATCGGCATCCAAGGCTCTCGAGGAATAGTCCACAGCAGTTGTTCCTGACGACGTCGGGACGACTTCCGTCCATTGATTGGGACACCACGTGATTCGTTTTGCCCCAAACTCCAAAAAAATATCGCGTTCTATGGATCGATTGAGTCTCGGCGATGCTCTAAAGCACACAATGGACTCATCGTGATCCGTCGATCGATTGGGGGAACACGACCAGATTGACGTTGCTCCGAAGGCACGCAATGGACTTAGCGCGCTTGTCCTGAATATTTCGCGCCTAACGTAGCTCGTGTCTCGTGCAGCACCAGCAGTCTGAATCTCTGACGAAGGCAACGACAGCGTGGAAAAACGTGTCGCATGTGCGGTGTTCCCGCACAGAGAGCGTTGACCTTCTCGGGAAAAGAGTTAGTTAGAGACGCAAAAAACGAACAACGGAATTTCATTTTGAGCGGGCACTTAGCACTGCAACTTGAGGCGAAACCATGGAAGAGCCCATCAACCTTTTGCACGAGAACGCGAGACACCGCCGCACAAGCGAAGCAGCAGTGCCGTCGGTTGATAACACCCACCTCCTTCTGAGCGTCGGAGCACTCTGCCCACATCTGTCCCATTTTGGCCGTCACTTCCGTCGACTTGAGTCCTGCCCGAAAAATGCATAACAAAAAAAGACACGCAATAAGAGAGGCAGATTTTCGTAGTTCAGTCGGTTAGGGCGGTCAACATAAACGAAAATAACACAAACACACGGCTGACGTCTTGTCATTGGTCAGGCCGGCTAGTGCGGGCGATGCGAACTAAATCAACACACACGCGACAATCTAAAAGATCACAAAGAGTTCAAGATTTGGTTGCGATCATACAAGGCCGTACTACAAAAGGAGCGTTTCAGTCTGGAGGGGTTAAACCTTGCGGTGTTGCAAAAAACAATCCACAGACCCCCCAGACATTCTCGCAGAGAGGGTTCACTCAGAACACCCAAACATTCGCTCGTGGCAAAGCGAAAGGGTACAAACGAAATATTCTCGGACTACAACCGAAAAAGCAAATCAGACCGCCGGGTGCACCCAAGTATCTTTGAGAATCACCAATCCAAACGCGCGAAAACAAAAAGGGTGCAAAACAATTGCACACAAAAAAAGCAAGCGCCCGAGGAAAACGCTCCCACTCCCCTGACAAGGTTGCAACGAAGAACCCTAAACTTAGTTATTATTCAATTGTTCAGCAACGGATCTAGCGTTCGGTTGGGCTTCCGACCTCTAGCACAAGAGCCACGGCGATTCGAAAGCACACTGTTGCCTTTGAACGCGAAATACATTGTAGTGGTTCTAGAAGAAAGAAAGGTTATCTGTGGGAAGAGATGAACCTGTTCTTGTCTTCGTGAGGAAGAAAACAAACAAACAATGACCTCCAACCAAGGAAGGCAGTCCTCCACGCAAAACGGGCCCTCGGTTTTCCACATAATACGGTATGGAAAAAGGTATCTCACTCGTCGCGCACCACTTACCAGGGTCGGCCTTGAGCACCTTCGCGCGGGCCTCCCTACTGAACATCATGTACCCGTTGAGCGGTCTCGGCTTGACCTCCCTCTTGGCCTTCTTGGTCTGCTTGCCCTTGCCGGTGGACTTTCGCTGACGGGAGGCGGGAGTGTGAAAGAGGAACGATGGACCGTTGACCACAAGGCCGAGAGCCAAACACGAATCACCAAGCGAAGAATTAATGAGATGATAACAGCAATTTTTCACTCCAATTGCGGGGGACGACAACAGCAAACACCCAGAGTCGCATTATGGCTCTGGGAGAAGCGCCCACGGCGTACACTCGATCGAAGAACTATTTCTTTTGTCACGTGGCAATCATCAGCAACGTCAGACTCCGACAGCTGCTAGATAAACAAAAAAAGAGAGCAGTGCCCACACAGCACAAGAGCAAGCCATCATCCGTGGACGACACGAGCAACAGTGTTGAGCAAGGTGTGGAACACTATCGCCAATGGCAAACCAAGAAGCTGCCAGACAACCACAAACGATGGCAGGGACCGAACCAATGCATGAAAAACAAAAAAATGCGCCTGAAACATCATCCACAAGATACACCACATACGTGAGAAGAGCAAGTAAAACACCTTCTTAGCGGCCTTCTTGGGCTTCTTGGCGACCGGGCCCTTAGATTCCGATGGATCCGGGCTAGCCAGGAAGGAAACGATCCGGTCGACCACTTCGGCCTTCGCATCCCCCAAGAAACGACAAAGAACAGCAGGCAGGTCACCACGCAGCAGCAGCGCAGGAGGGGGAAGATACATCGTGTTAGAGCGGGGATAACGCTGACGCCCTTCTGTCTGTCATCTCTCCGTTTTGTCCTCTACATGACTTAGCTAGTAATAGTAGAAGGAACATGCAGAGCGATGTTGAGACATGGAATAGCCAGGAGAAGACGGTAGATGCACTGACGCTAATGGAAGTGGGCTCAAAAGGCGGGATCAACATTGGAGGATATATAGGCTAGGGTATACATTCTTGAGCACCCTTTGGCAAAGTACTGGAGGAAAAATTGGCCATCGGTCATCGGTCCTGTGGGAACAACGCTCCGTCCTGTCGAGGACACGTGGTCAATGGATTAACCGCTGAGTAATGCAAAACATGAGCATGTCCCTCCCCCCAGCCAAACAACCGCCCTCCATCCCGCGGTTGTAGTTACTGTAGATAATTTCCCGCCAATGCTCATCAGAACGTAAAATAGGAAATTGAACTACGACTAATCCGTCCCTTTGCCAAGCGCAGGGTGCACGGAGGTCGGTTAGCACGGACGGTGATGGCATAAAAAAATAAACAGAAAAAGGTAAGGACGAGGGGGGGGGGGG